CGACAAGCTTGAGAGATCCATCAAGTAACTCACTGGCAGAAGTTCCATCGGCGAGGGCTTTCTGGACAGATGGAAGTTGAATCAAATTATTAATATTTTCGTGCAAATCTCTGAGGGTGGCCAACTGTGTGCATACGGAAGAGGATGATACTGATGCTTCTTTGGAGGACATTAGCCTGCATATTTGTTCTTTAACATTAACAACTGCTGGATGAGATTTAGATGGCAGACTGTTTGATCTAGCATGGAAAGCCATTTGAATTCTAAATTTTGAAATGCAAAGTTGAAGCAGCTATATTTTTATAACTTGGATGATCAATGGAAAGTTGGATCGGGTATATATAGGCAGATGAACTCTAAGGGACAGAGAGAATATTTTCCACCAAATATGTTGTCTTCCTATTGTTGTAACTTTATTATATGATTTCACACGAATACCTTGTCCCCATTGATGTTAGAAAGGATGGCCACCAAAAATGTTAAAAATTTCTATGTGCTAGAAATGATCCGAATTAAACGTATCTTGTAGATCTCTGTGTGATGCTGCCTAGTTGAACCAGAAAACAAAAGGAATCGTGACAGCAATACATTGGCCGTAGTTTCATAATCTGCCTGCACGGACACATCAAAATTTTCCTTCTCAGCCGCAACTTTGTATAAAATAATTTTGAAGTGGAGAAGAAATTAAATATTGGCGCACACAAGTATATTGTTATTTGTTTTAAGTTATACTCATAAGCCTTTGAATTAGCATAAAATAATTAAAATTCCATCTAAAAGTAGAATTTTTCTAACCAGTCTACTTTTTTGGGCTAAAGTGAAATATGTTTCCGGCCTAAAGTTTTTTTTAATATTGAATAAATGCGTTATATGCAAAGTTTATTAATACATTTGTAAAGAGTTTCTTTCTTTATAGAAACTGATGAAGTCACTTCAGTAAGGCATGTACATCCTCATGATGAGTATTCTGGGTGAGAAAACTCTAAGTTCCATCCTTAATAAGCTGTCCAATGGTGCATAGCTTTGTTCCATTAATATAGGATAATGTGGAAAAACTTTATACAAAAACGGTTATTACTTTAGAGTAGCTATCGAATAAATCTTATTTATGCAAAACTCCACATTTTCCAAATGCTCTCTATCTTACAAGTATGCTATTTTCCACCACTAGTTATTAGCACCGGTAGTCATATCATTGCCACATCGTTTAATGTCTTTTATTCATTTGATAATGTAGCATTGACCTCACTATTACCTGGTGATAATCACCCGTGGTGATGCATAACATTATTTATATTTTACTGTTTAGAGAGGCCAAAACCATCCTTCTTCACCTCTGCTCTGCCTAGATCCAAGATAATTCTCAGTGGACTCTTTATTGGTTAGTACATTTTTTCTTCGTTGTTCATTTACTTTAAAGTTGTTTCCATGCCTTGCATGAAATTATCATTGATTTGCAGACCTGCCGTGTGTAATGTGTTTATATACATTATAATATGTGTATGCAGTATGCGTTCGTGTGTGTTTGAATATTATACATGTAATAATGATGGCAGCTACTGGAGAGATCTAGTTGGAGACTCTAGCCATCTTTCTTTGGTAAATGGTGTTAAACAATTCAAAGAAAGTAAATAGAAAATAAATTTTCTTGTGAATGAATTTCATTTTCCAATTATCTGAAACAGTAAGGGGACATCATTTGAATAATTTATTCTTTATGGATAATGCATGCATTTGAAGCTGAAAATTGGATCATTCAGATCTCAGTGAAATAATGCACCATAAGGAATCTTGGCATCAATGAAGTTGATTCAAACATGTTTTGTCATTCAACTCATCAAGGCTGGTTGCTGCTTATCTTGGAAAGCTGAGTATGCATTAACTTGCTCAAAGACAAATGGAATTATTTAACTATCCAAAGTTACAAACCCTACAGATTAACAATATTGGTTATTAGTCAAATAACAAGAAGAATCTTGACAGCCTAGCACTAGATTAGTTTGCTTCTGGCTGTTGCATTCTCACATTGTCATCATTAAAATCAAGCACATTGGTTTTCTAATAATTAAGTTAAACTGATCCATGTGCTTCAATTAATTGCAGGTGCCTGCTGTGTTTAAAAATTGGCTAAAATAACATACACAGACGCACAGATAATGAAAGAACAGTAAAGTAAATAGAAAAGGTGAAAGTTCTGCCCCTGAAAGTAATTGTACTCGTATGCTTGGTTGAGATAAAATCTTGAAAATATATACTTGGAGAGACAGCTCAACAGAAATGGGTTGAAGTTTAAAAATATTGATTGTATTTTATCCATATTGACAATAATTTACAAAATTATATGAGCATTATCACTAAATTAAGATTAGTGGCTCAGGGCATTAAGAAGAGAAACTCTAATTTTGACTAGACTCCTAAAGAAGGCTTCTAAATTCTCTTCAAGTTCCTGGATTGTCCTTTCTGACGCATCCAACTGCTTCATGACATCTTGGACAGATACTGTGTCCATATCTTGTTGCAATTTGTTGATGTTCAAGGCATACAATTCCTGAGCGTTGCTCTCTTCTTCTGTTTCAAAATGTACGCGGCTTGATTGGGTAAACTTGGAAAGCAGGGACCAAGTTTTTTGCTTTGATGCAAAAATGGTCAATGCTGACTTGAGGGCAGAAAAGCCAATGACCTGTGATTCTTTTAGAACGGTTGCAATTCCCTTAAGATTGTTGTGCTTGTTGGTAGAGCTTTGCTCGAAACTATTCAAATTCTTGATGCACTTTTTAACCATTTTGTCAATCTTTTTCCTTGAAGTAATATATGCATCAATGCCTCTCTTTCTCCTCAAAGACGATTGGAGTTCTTGAACAGATTCCTTCATCAAAATTATAA